TCGCAAACATTTCTATGTTCAGTCACGGGATATTCAACTTTTATTTAATTGAACTTAATTAAAACGCAATTCTACGTTGAATTGCATTGTAATTGAGTTTAATTATTAAACTCCAATTAAAACACAACCCTATATAGGAACGCTTTTTAATCGAGTTCATATCGCAACTATATTAAAAGTTAATTCAACTATAATATCAAAAGATAATCCAATGAAGTCCTCAAAATATATTGCGATACAAGTATGTGTGTGCTTGATTGTGACTTATCAGCGTTGTGATGACTTCCATTTAACTTTACACCTACCAAGTGATGACAAATGTTTAATAATTTCTATTAATATTTAATCGAACTTAAGTCCAGTTTGCATATACTAATCCCAATTACACATTTCTCCTGAACGTTCCACAGAAATGACGGTATGGCTGCTTCATGCAACTGTGCTCAAGAGTAGGACTACTTTTTTGTGTTTGACAGCATTTCTATGGCTTTTTATAAAATTTGCTGAATTTCAACTTGAGGAAATGTTATTATATAAAATAAGTAAATCAAAAAAGACAAAACTATATGAGTAATATAGCTTATTTGAAAAAAGCAATCACTCGAATTGAGGTGTAAAATGGCAAAGACTGATTCTGGCCCTTGGTGGAAATCAGTCAAGGTTTGGAGAATTGAGGAATACATTGGCACCCATTTTAAGTCTTCATTCTCAGATAGGATTTGAACTGTGGTCTGCAGAAATCAGTCAAGGTTTGGAGAATTGAGTCTTCATTCTCAGATAGGATTTGAACTGTGGTCTGAAGGAATCAGTCAAGGTTTGGAGAATTGAGTCTTCATTCTCAGATAGGATTTGAACTGTGGTCTGCGGTTAATAACTATTACACTTTGATTGATCAGTTATACAATCATACAAATGGTTAGCGTTTCCAAGGAAAAGCATAAAATAAAGATCACTTTCTGTAAATAATTTTATAACGATTTTGGCCAATTTTAATTATATTTAATCATCCCTTCAACAATTCAGTAGGTAATTTGATACATATAACATTAGGCTACAGAAATAAAACAAAAACAAATGTGGGATTATTAGACAATTTTTCGAGTAAAAAAATCCTGTCATTTTATCTTTCTTTTTATATTGATTTCTATAGTGAAAGTATATGTAACTTTTTTCCTGTGAAATTTGTTATGTAACATTTAGGTATGTTTATTTATTTTTAATGCATTTTTTTGCATTCATTTCAGACCAGATAGACACAATTCTCTATTGCTTATAACTCTATTATTATTTTGTGAAAAAGAAATATACTTTGGCTTTACAATTTTCAAACTATAACACCAACCTGAAGAATGTTCAGAGAATATGAACCATGTCCCTTAAAACACAACTTAGCATGGACAAACTCCAAATTCAGGTTCAAGAGACCAATATGTGCTATAGCCCAAGCAGCATCTTCTACATGCACATTCAAATTACCACTGAATGGTTCTGTAAACAAATAATAATGATCAACCCAAATAGATAATAGATGATAGATGATAGTGAATATGAGGCACATAATATAAGTATGTATAACACGTTTACAGGTAGTCAATTGCTTTGAATATGTGGACAAATTTACAGTTTTGATCATATCTTCCCAGAGTTAAACTTGCACACACCTACAGACGGCTACGGCTTTAGTCTCCCCATTGTGGTCCAATACCCAAAGTACAGAGGCTTTGGTTTCCCCATTGTGGTCCACTCACCTAGAGTACAGTGGCTTTGGTCTCCCCATTGTGGTCCATTATCCAAAGTACAGTGGTTTTGGTCACCCCATTGTGGTCAACATCCAGAATACATTGGCTTTAATTGGTCTCCCCATTGTGGTCCAATACCCAAAGTACAGAGGTTTTGGTCTCCCCATTGTGGTCCACTACCCAAAGTACAGAGGTTTTGGTCTCCCCCATTGTGGTCCACTCACCTAGAGTACAGAGGCTTTGGTCTCCCCATTGTGGTCCACTATCCAAAGTACAGTGGTTTTGGTCACCCCATTGTGGTCAACATCCAGAGTACATTGGCTTTAATTGGTCTCCCCATTGTAGTCCATTACCCAAAGTACAGTGGTTTTGGTCTCCCCATTGTGGTCCACTACCCAGAGTACA